AGGGTGGAGCCTCAGCTTTGCCCTGTCTCTGCGGCGCGCAGGGACGACTGGGCGGCAGTTGGCTGTGTGCACCGAACTCCCCCTTTTGCGCCAAGCCCTATGTCCTCCCTAGCAACACCCAGGCCGGGTCTGACCAAGGGTCCGTCCAGACCAGGGAGCTGCCTCCCGACAGCAGCCAGCGCCGGAAGCGCCAGCGGCGATGAACCGAGCGATCCATCCCGCGGTGTCCAGTGTCAGCGGCTGCTGTCTAGGGACACCAGAGCTGGGCGTTAGCGCCGTGGCTCATTAGTAGCCATTGAGGGACGCGGACCGATCCTCCAGGCACTCGTTGAATTCTTCTCTTGGGCCTTCACCATGGACCTGGCAGCAAGTTCCCCGGGCTGCTTGTGTGGGCAAAGTTCTTCTTTCCTCAGGCTGCTGCCTCTTCATTTCACCGGGCGACCCCTAGGTCTTGTGTCAGGGGAAATTGGAGAAGGTTCAGAGAAGAGCAACAAGACTGATTTAAGGTCTAGAAAATCCAGGACCGGTGTGGAGAATGAGAAGAGGGAGGGAGCCTTGCACCTTCCCATCACAGAATCATAGAATACTAGGACTGGAAGGGACCTCGAGGGGTCATCGAGTCCAGTCCCCTGCCCTCATGGCAGGACCCAGTGCTGTCTAGACCATCCCTGATAGACATGTATCCAACCTGCTCTTAAATAGCCCCAGAGATGGAGATTCTACAACCTCCCTGGGCAATTTATTCCAGTGTTTAACCACCCTGGGTATGTCTACACTGCTACCCTAGTTCGAACTAGGGTGGCTAATGTAGGCATTCGAAGTTGCAAATGAAGCCCAGGATTTAAATATCCCGGGCTTCATTTGCATCTTGCCGGGCGCCGCCATTTTTAAATCCCCTTAGTGCGGACTCCGTGCCCGCGGCTACACGCGGCACGGAGTAGGTAGTTCGAATTAGGCTCTCTAATTTGAACTACGGTTACTCCTCGTGGAACGAGTTGTACCAATAGTTCGAATTAGAGATCCTAATTCAAACTACCTACTCGGTGCCGCGTGTAGCCGCGGGCACGGAGTCCGCACTAAGGGGATTTAAAAATGGCGGCGCCCGGCAAGATGCAAATGAAGCCCGGGATATTTAAATCCTGGGCTTCATTTGCAACTTCGAATGCCTACATTAGCCACCCTAGTTCGAACTAGGGTAGCAGTGTAGACATACCCAGGGTGGTTAAACACTGGAATAAATTGCCCAGGGAGGTTGTAGAATCTCCATCTCTGGGGCTATTTAAGAGCAGGTTGGATACATGTCTATCAGGGATGGTCTAGACAGCACTGGGTCCTGCCATGAGGGCAGGGGACTGGACTCGATGACCCCTCGAGGTCCCTTCCAGTCCTAGTATTCTATGATTCTGTGATGGGAAGGTGCAAGGCTCCCTCCCTCTTCTCATTCTCCACACCGGTCCTGGATTCGTAGCCCTGTAGGCTACCCGCCCCGTCATTGTCCCTTCTCTGAATGGCGCGGTCCCACTCTTCTTACTCGTGCCCAGGGGCGGCCCGTGAACCTAGGAAGACTAGGCGGTCGCCTAGGGCGCCGCCGCCCCGGGCGCCAGATGATGATGTCACAGGGCGCCTGGGTGCCCCGTGATTACATCACGGCCATTGACGGCCGTGCAGGCGGGGGCGCCGATCGCGCTTTCCGCCTGGGGCTACAGCCGGCCTCGGGCCCCTCCTGCTCGCGCCTCACACGCAGGCCGTCCCGTCCCCCCATCATGCTTGTGGCCCTTGCCCGTCCCTTTCCCCATTCGAGTGCACCTCTTTGGAGGTGGCGGTGATGAGGACGGCCGTCCGCGCCCAAGGTGTGGGTGTCCCGCGGATTTATATAGCGGCATTGTGCTATTTTCTGGTTCTTTCGCCATGCCGTCCCTAATGGCTCCTAACATTCTCTTGGCTTTTTTTTTTTTTTGACTGCCGCTACACACTGAGCAGATGTTTTCAGAGAACGAGGCATGAGGACTCCAAGATCCCTTTTCCCCCCCCCCCCCCCGCATCATTTTGTGTGTCTAATTTGCCCTTCGCAGGCTCAGCTGCAGAGCCCTGCACTGCATATTCTGTGTAGGATGTAATTGCCTTTCACAAGAGAATTTCCACATTTACCACTCTGCCACCACACAATCAAAGCCAGCGCCACAGACACGAGAGACTGCCATTTGAGTTCTAAATAGATTTCTCTCCTGAGCAGGTAAAGAGGTTTAATTAAAATTAGGGCTTCTCAAAATAGCAATATTTATGAGGACAGCACAGGTTAGCTTTGTTCTACAGAAGGGCTTAATAGAGCCTTAATGGATTGACCTATCATTCGATTTCATGACTTACATTCATGAAGCAGCTCCTCATGGGGAGGGGAGGAAGAGAGGCTTTTATAG